AATGACAATGAAGTGTGCCCTTCATCCTCACAGTGATATTGACACCTATCTACCAAGGCAAACAGGTGAGCGTGAAATGTTGCAAGTACATCAGAGGGTTGAAGAAGAAAAAATGGCTTTGGAAGAATATCTGAAAGACAATGATAAAGATACATTTAAGTTAGTACACCAGGAAGGCTTACTGACTACTGGAGAGACCAAACTGGCCTACAAGAAAGACCAAATGAAAAACAGAATGGAGGCATTTGTTCATTTACTGTATGGGTTTGTGAGGCTAAACAGCAAAATAAATATTCTCATTATCATTTGCTCTATGGATAAGTAATCAATATGTTCTGCTTAATTCCTATCAGTGGCCTATGGATCTTATTTTGATCGTATTAGTGAATGGAGCAAGCACCTTGATGACAGCAATATATTTTTTATTACCTATGAGGAGATAAAAGAGGTAAGTGAGGGCTCCTTGGTGCTCTCTGAGCTTGCTTGTTTTCTTGCAGACGTTTCATTACCCAAACTAGGTAACATCATCAGTGCAGTTTGCTGTCAGTTTATATTCCAGTGGCTTGCCTGTCAGTATTGATGGGGGTGGACTTAGAGATTCTTTGATTGGGCTGTTTGCTGTTGACTTCTTTGGCAGTTTCTTGATTGGAGTATTATTTACTTGAATGTTGTTAAAAGAGTTAAGTTTTTAATAATAAAGATTTAGATTTAATTTTAGAATAATTTTTTTGGCTAACTACTATATGATAACGAACAATTTATCAGGAAATAAAAATAGGAAATATAACTCAAGGTTTCTGCTTGGTTGCTTTTCTCTAAGCAACTAATAAATATATCAGAAACATTTTCTTTTTAAAGTCAACCTCTGGATCAGCTGATCTACTCCTGCTAATACTTCAATGAAAGAATGAAGACTATGCTTTGTTTCACTTGTTTATTTTTTTCTAATTCACATAAGTCCAACCTGCAAATATCAACATTTTTGTGTGGTACCCAGAACAAGACTTGGAGTTAAGAGATTTGAAATGTTTCCAGGGAAGCCTTACTAACTTATGTTATATGTATTTTGGGGTTATTCAGAATCCAGCCTCAGCAGTGAAAAAAATAGCCGAATTCTTTGATTTTTCTGTGACTGAAGAAAAGATTGAGACCATTGTAAAGGAAACAAGTTTTGAAAGCATGAAAGATAATTCAGGAACCTATGGAAAAGTGGGCCAGATACTTTTCCGCAAAGGTAATATGTAATATTTTTAATAATTTTGCCAAAGAGGCTTAGCAGTCTTCTCTAACCTAGTGGCTTTATGGTATGTGGGATTTCAGCTCCCATTACTCCAAGTATTCAAAGTGGTGAACAAGGGGTATATAAGTACAAATCAGGAGATACAGGAAGCAAAACTAGGGTATTTTGACGCTTGCTGTTTGGTCTGGCTAAAAGAGTGGGTGAACCTCCAAAATAAGAAGCTACTTGATTTAGAAAGTCGTGAATTAAGATTTGGATGGCACGGTTACCTATGATATTATGAGATTAAAAGTAAATGTTGATTTTAATAACCATTTTGTTAGGTGTGCCATCCTAAGAGTTTTGAATAAATGGTAAAACAAGGCTTTCTGTAAAGATGCCTCTCTGGGTGTCACCCCAGGAAGCTTTTTTTTAGAAAAGAAATGGTGAAATAGTATCTTTTAACTTTGGTGATCCTATCCTTAACTCTAAGGAGGAGTTAGAATCAGAAGGATGTGTCTGCCATTGGCTTACATATTTACAACTGAAAGAAAGATTTAAAGCAGACAAAAAGAGTTAGGGGTTTGATTTTTCTGAAAAACGAATTGGAAATCTTACTGGACATACCATGTTTCCCCAAAAATAAGACCTGGTCTTATATTATTTTTGCCTCCAAAAGAGGCATTAGGTCTTATTTTCAGGTGGTGTCTTATATTTTTGTGACACCTGCCTCTCCTTGCGGTGGCAGCACCAACAGCCCCATCCAGCAGGAGCCCGCATGGCTGCTGGCCCACTTCTGCTGTGGCCGCTCGTGGCAGGAGGCTGCATGGCACACCATGCTGCTGCCAACACAATGAGGTGAGGCAGGGGGGAGGGGGGGACCTAGCCCACGTGCCCCGCACCCGCTTCTTTCAGCCCCCCCCCTGCCAGGCCATTCCTTACTCCCTTTCACTCCCCTCCCGAGCCAGACTGCCATGCTACCATATGGAGGATGGGCAGGGTAGGCCTGGTCCCCCTCTGCCATTTTGGAGCCAGGAGGGAGTGACGGCGAAAGGCCCTGCTGCCGCTGTGTACTGCTGGAGGGGCTTTCTTCACACTCCACCCCACAGATCCCCTGTCTGGCGGCAGCCCCCGTCTCCTTCTCCTCCGCCAATCTCCCGTGGCTTGTGCAGTGACCAGGTGGCACAAGCCTCCCCTTCCGCCTCCCTCCGCCAGCCCTCCATCACAGCCACTGGAGAGAATGGAGAACAGGAAGCGGAGCGGCTCTGCGCAGCAATGCAGAGCAGAGAAGAGCACTTGCTTGCCGCCCTGCATCGCCCCGTATCTCCCTTCTCCGTTCACAAAATGGCAGCCCCATTTCCTGCTGCTTCTCCTCCTGAAAGTAAAAAAAATCAACACTAATCTGCTTTCCAGCTCTGGCACGTTTCTCTCCTGCTGATACAGAGTTCGTGGAACTAAAAAAAAGTTCAGTCAGACCTTCCAACTTGTCGCGAAAAAAAAAAAAGATCTCATGAGAAGTTGGAAGGTCTGACTGAACTTTTTTTAGTCTCTATAATAAATCTCACCAAGCCCTGTCTGAAAGTTTTCTTGCTGACTAGAACCAAATCTGAATAAAGGAACAAATGCTGTCTTGTGCAGCCTGATAGTCACCTACAAAAATTGAAAAGTATTAATCTTTGTTACTCACCCAAAAGCAAATAGCTAGGAGAACCTTTTTGAGGGATGAGGCAAGGGAGGGAGATTTTTCCCAAATCTGAGACCTGGAACATTTCCTAAGCATGCACAAAATCTCCCTGTTAAAATTAACGTTTCACAAACCACATGAAGGGAACTCCAAAGCCTAAAAATATGCCATGGAAGTGTCTTTCCTGTGCAATAAAACCCTTTGTTGCTTCTAGTGGACTTTTGAAGAACAATAGCTATTATTTGGCTTAACTGAAGGACATTCTCTCCCTCTTCCTTCCTACCCTTCACCCATCATTGTAATTTCTTTTCTTTTCTTTTTTAGGCATAGTAGGTGATTGGACATCTGCCTTCTCAGAAAGCCAGAGTGAAAGAATGGACAGAAAATTTGAGGAGAGTGTAGCAAAAACTAAGCTTGGAATGATGTTGAAATATGAGCTGTACTGCAAAAACTGAAGAGGCCATCAGTGCTACAAATCTCTCAGGTTCTGATTCTTTGCATAAGGATAAACATACTTAAGTTGTTCAAGAAGAATTGGTAGTGCCTTTCTCAGTCTCCAGATGTGCCAGATGTCATTTCTGATAATCCCAACACAGCTATTGGTTGGGTTATATGATGAGTCAAAGATTACAGGAAAATAAAAAATAAATAAAATAAAGCTGCTTTCAGGATACTATTCACTCTTTTCTCCTCTTTTGGATATTGACATTAAGTGGAAGAACTCTTCCAGAATTAATAAAATCCTAGACTTACCTATAAGATGAAGGAATTTACTCTCTTATTCTGTACAAAATTTGTTGAGCAATTGTTGAAAGACTAAAATGACTAAGAGGCTTTTATTATCCCCTTAATAAAATTCCTTATAAATTTGGTTTGCTTTAATACAGTAATTCACCCCAAAACTCAAAATCCAACAGAGATAGCTTCCTGGTTCAAAACTTACACCAAATGTCCTCTTCTGTATGACCACTAGCACTAGCCACACCTATGAAAGAGGTCCAACTTGTGACGCATATCACAATACTGCTTCCCTCATTTTGACAAAACTCTACACGTGCCCTGGCAAACTACAGACACCTTGTGTATAATGCCCCTGTACATGTTTATGTAAAAGGAAATAACATTATGTCTTATTTGATTATTGTTATGTGAAAGCCAGCTAAAGTACCAATGTCCACTAGCAAACTTTTCTCCACTTAACTAGTGATTTAGCCAGCCAGTTCCTTTGAGATGACAAATCCCATAGGGCTAACGTTCAGATAAATGTGTGTAGGACTGCGGGCTTATAGCATAATCATATCCACAGTTCAGTACACATGAAGTCCTTATTCCCCACTGCTCTGCATAGATGGGGCCACACCTGGAGCATTGAACATGATTCTGATGTCACCGTTCAGAAGAATAATTGATAGGTTAGAAGAGTCTCAGAGGACAGCAACAAAGATGATAGAGGGAATTGAGGACATGCCCTATAAAGGCAGGTTGAAGAAACTGGAATGTCTAGTTGGGGGGAAGAAACAGAGAAAGAGTATATGGCTTTCAGATTTCCCATTCTGGGCTTAAGTATATTGCTGTATATTGCTTCTTTAACTCTCATTTTGCTCAGCACTACTCTGCATAGAATAAGAAACAAAACAGCCAGCAGATGTCATCCTTTTATAATGTATATAGCATGTCTTTGTTTCTTCAGGAAGAATGAAAGCTGAGTTGGATACCATTTGAATTTCTGATATCAACAAACAGAAATTAGGAAGAAGAGACAATTGGGTGATTTCTTTAAGCTTGTATTAGTTGATTCAGGTGAGGTAAAGAAGGTCAAATGTAAGTAAATGTATTTTTAATATAGGTTAATTTGCTAATCATTACTCGGTAACCCTCATTGACAGTGAAATTTGTGTATTTAAAAATTTACTTCTACAATGATTATTATATGATTATTATAGGACTAATAGAAATAAAAGAACTCATTACACATTTAAAAACCAGCTTTATTATTTCTACTTATTATTTTCAATTTATGTTCTGGGGCCATCTATCAATTAAGTGATAGAAGAAACAAACAAGATCAAATTTGGCATTAAATACACACACACACACACACACACACACACACACACCATAATACTCCCATTTTACTCCTGCTGCTGATGTTTCATTGCAAAACCAGTATCATCAGCAGAAATGCAAGGAAATGAGACACTGTTGTGAATAAACAGTGTCTCCCCTTCCATTGCTAACTCATTGCATCTGACTTTTGCTGAAGACCGACATTTTTAATATTATTCTAAATATGTCTTTGATTGGAAGACTCTTTATAATGGACACCGTTTCTTTCTGCAGTTCATCCAGTGGTATCTGAGGTCTAATTCCATCCACTGTGAAAACCTCTATGGGATTTGTCATCTCAAAGAAATTGGCTGGCTAAATCACTAGTTTAGTGGAGATAGTTTGCTAGTGGACATCAGTACTTTAGCTGGGTTTCACATAACAACTTTAGTAATTTAGAAAAGGTGTAGAAGAGATTTCCAGGCTTATAGGTACCCAGGCCACATGTAGTTTCTACATATGCAGTGTACTGGTATGGACTCAGGATATCCTTCAGTTGATAGGGCAGAAATAGATTGTGTAGTAGTGAAGAAACAGTTTCAGATGGTATGAAAATAGTCTATATGCATTGGCTGGTATAAGTGTATTGCAGTTATTTGCATTTTTTAAGGGAGCTGAAATAGAAAAAGAGAAAATCCCTGGCCATCACCACTTTTCTTCTAGTGGTGTTGTGTGTTTGTGCATTTTTGTGTGCTTTAATAGACCTCCCACAGAAAGATTCTTTGTTTCAAAGCATGCCACCCACATTAAGAATTTTTGGCAAATGTTGTGAATATCTGAATATAATCAGGCAGCTGCTTTTAATTTTGGCATTCCCTACCACCAAAGTCTCCAACACCATCTTTAGTCCTAAAACAGATTTCAGTCAAGCAGTACTAAGGAGGCCAGGAATTTGGCTGTACTACCTAAGCATGTACTTGCATGGCTATGCATCAAGAACCATATAGGTTGAATGAGCATCACTGGGGATTCTTACAGATCGTTCTGCTTCCTGTGCTCTGGCATGGAAGAAATAGGCCTACATTATTGTCTTTCTCTTTCTAAAGGACCAGACCAATTGATATTAAAGAGAGTAAAGGTGAAATCATTGCTGTGGGTCTGTTAGCACTGGGAGATGTTCATCTGAATTTTTAACTTAGAAAAAGAATAAATCTCATTAGTTTTTCCCCCCTAAAATTTCTCTTACATTTATGATTTTAAAAGGATATCTTTTTTCCTGCAAAGAAGAAAATTTTGGTGAAATAATCATAATTTTTCACTTTCTTAGATGCACAGGCATCAGTAATTGTGTAAAAATTGTTACCATACAATCATCTCAGTAACAGGGAATATAATCTTCCTGGTCTGTTATGTCTCATTTCAGCCCCAACACAGAACAGTTTGAGGCATCTCTCCACATAAGCCTTTGGGAAATCAGAATAGATGAAGTCAGGGAAAATGAACCGTGATTGAGAAAAAATAAAGAGCAGCATGCTTTGTCATTTTACAATAGGTCAAAAGCATCACCAAATAAATCCAAAAGAAATTCTAAACCACTCTGAGGATGAGATAGAAAACTATACGTTTTCTTCGATGGGGAAGAAAAATGGGAAGACGGATTGCAATATGATTTTTGACTTTAGAAATAAAACACTGGGTGGAGACACTTTCCAAGCACAGTCATATAATATGATGAATAGATTCATATATTTGAAAAGGGTTACAGTTGTTGCTGCATTAAGAATCATTTGTGAACTCATATCGGATTTTCTGCAACCTTGCTGTCATCCCTTTGAAGAGAAATGACCAGGTTTTTTTGGCAATGTCCTTGCTTTATTGCACAAAGTAGCAGTCTTTTGTTAAGATATTCACTTTCCCTCAAAAAGTGCTGTTCTCTGCAATTTTCCTCAAGGAGAAAAAAAAAACCAATAGCAGAGGAAACACATTTGGACTTGAACAGATACCCAAAGCTGAGCAATGGCTACATTCCAAACAGAGGGATAAATCACTTATTTCTAGATGTGTGGTATTTTTCCCCTTTAACCATACACAGAGAAAATCTCTTTCCATATTTATACTGAAATACTCTGTCAAAGAAACAAACTGAGTTGAGTATAGAAAAATTCCACTGCTCATAACTCCACTGATATATTGTATTTACCTGCTACAAATGATCTCAGCTCTGCCTGCTTTGCATCTTTTTTTAGATTAAAAAAGCAACATTTTGTACTGAAATAACCTTATTATACAGCAACTGAATTTTAGGGCTGCAGTGCAAAACCAATGACACTGGGATATCATTTCAGACAATGTGTTCTTTTTGTTATTTAGAGTATTGTTAAAATTATTAAATTATTAAGGAGCAAAAGGCAGAGAAAGCCTTCAAATGCAGTTGGGAGGCCATTTCTGTTCTAGATTCTCTAACCAGTGCACATATTTTCCTTAAAAGAAATTTATAATTTTGTACACTGTTTGTTTGGAGTAGACTATGAAGGGTCAGTTCCATTCCTATTCCACCCCTTTCCCCACAAAAAAGTAAAGCAAAGGCTGTTTCCATGTTTGAGAGAATGTAAGAATAATTTTTCACATTATACAGTATGGATAGCAGGTTGGATTCACTCTGCCAATTTTAATTTATTTATTTATTTTATTTATTTATTATTTAGATTTATATCCCGCCCTTCTCCTCGTAGGACTCAGGGCGGCTGACAATCAATTAAAATACATAAATAACAATACAGGTTTAAAATTAATTAAAAGAAATATTAAAGATTGTCCAATTTAAAATATTGATTAAAACCCCTCTAAAAATTACCCTAGGCCAGTCCTGCGA